ATGTAGGAGTTGAAAGTCAGGGAGCACTTCTGTGTGTCAAACGGGAAGGTGTAGATGTTGAGGTTACAGGAGCTCACAACTCTGACAGGAAATCCGTTCCTCACTTTACCGTCGTTAAAGAGGTACACGTATGGGACGGATGGTGCTTTGTTTTCCTCCATGCTAAAGGAGCCATATATGCAGATATGTAGAATTAGAGCAAAGCACTTAAATTACAATACAGGAGAATGTGCTTTTGTGGTTGAAAATGAAGGCAAATAATGAGAAAAAAAAAAGATACCGATTCTACAGAGCTTGCAGGTGAGAAAAGTAACAAAAAAATAACAAAAAAATCTAGTTTAACTAAAAAATATATAAAATTAGTTGTGCCAAGGGACATATACGTGGTCAAAATATAAATAAGTGTTTTTAATTCACTTTTAGCCTTTATCTAATTAATTTTATAACAACATGAAGGTTTGACATTATGGTGAGCATTGTAAAGTGCATTACTGAAAACTCACAATTCATTTATCACAATATCTGGAACCCAAAACTTTTCCTTCGGTAGAGCGATCCTGTCTGAGCCACACTGGTCTGGGTCCCAACTGATGAACTCATTCCTCCACCACTGCAGCAAAAAAACAAACCAAAAACAAAACACTGTTAACATTCACAATATCCTCCATTGTGTCAAAACTATTTGCCTGTCTACTTTGATATGTCCTTCAACTATACACGAGCCGCAGGAGTGTAAAATCTAACAGAAAGCTTTTGACAAGGTGTTAAAGATGGATACTGACGCCTTGTGGAAAAACTTCCTCATATAAACAGAAGTGCTTACAAAGGGTGGATATTAATCCTAGGTGGATTAAGGATGGGAGGTAATTAAAGTTTATGTATAAAGGCAGGCAGATAAATATTCAGGCAATACAGAGTATGTTTATATTTGCAGAATAAACAGATTCAAAGCAGATAAAAAATGGTCATAGTTATTTGCTTACATAGACGAGCCAAATATAAGTGACCAGGAGTTGAGACTTTTCATCCTGGAATATAAAAACATCAGTCAGATTAAATGATAACCAGATCAGGACTCTTTATTTTTCATCCAAATGATTCTTTTTAAGTGTTGAAGGTTTTAGGCTGAACCTACCACTCCTAAAATCCCATAGAGAGTGAAGTAAACGCTGACGTTGGTGTAGGTTCGTTGGTTTTCTACGGGCCGAATGGCTCTAAGGTTGAAGGCAGGGGACAGAGCCACCAGGAGGCTCGGCTGGTCCGACTGGGAGCAGTTCACTTCATTTGCGCTGCAGAAAGCTGATAAAGAAAATTTAGTAAGAGTTTGCAGCATTTTCACTTTGCAGAAATATATTTGTCATGTTTTAGAATGTTATAATTTAACCTTTTTTACACAATTGAATGTGAAGAACAGAAATTAATCAAGGATTTTATAAATATAAAAAAAAGCTCACCTGGCAGAATGACAATGAGAATAACCACCGTGTGACTGACTGATGGGAGGAGCCACTGAAAATAAAATAAAAATCAAATTATCTCTTGAATAATGTTTCATAGTTTAAATTAACTAAGTAAATGTTTTTCTTTTTTCTATTACAGATTTACAGTCAGCCTTACACTTATTACCAAATGTGTTCCCCTGACAAAAGTGAGTAAAGTAATATTTTAATGTTACTATAATGTTTACTTTGACTGGAGACAATGATCGTCTGGTCAGGTGCAGAGTTCTTACTTAAAGTTACTTTTACCTCTTAAACTTGGAGCTCATCATCATAGATAAATGTTAAGAAAACCAGAGGAAACAGGAAAATAAGATCCTTACTAAATATAAGAAGGGTTTACCTGCTTATATGTCAATAGAAAGGTCAATTTACTAAATTTGGTCCAAATAAGATTTGAAACATTTTTTTAAAAAGTGTATGAAAGATGAAAAAAATTGATATGGTTTTCCAAATTTGAAGAGATGCATGTTACTTAAAGTCTGAATTAATCCCTTTTAAGTGAATCAAAGTTAAGAATTGTTCCAAATGCAGCAGATGATGCTTTACCTTAAGTGTTGTTTTCTTTGATTCCATGATGCTGAATGTGAGTTATAATTTAGCAGTTGCCTCTTTGTCCCTTTATTTGTACAAGAAAAATAGAATAAAAATCAAATTGTTGAACTCTACTTTAAAATGAAAACCAAAGAACAATGGCAGAATACCTGCAATGGACTTGGTCTCTAACTTTTCAAAAGCTAAATTCAGCGTCTGACTGAGAAGATATACACAACACCACCATGACCCGAGTGTAAAAAAAACCCACTGCAAATGATGTGGGAGAGCTGAAACAGAAAGCAGGATAGCTGCTGAACCAAATACAAGCCACAGCTGACGTGAAGGACCTCAGGCTGGGGCTTGTATGTGGTGAAGACGGACCACAGCGCTGTCAAAGTCACAGCTGATGGTTACAGGCAAATGAACAGTGGCCGGCCTACGAGAAACAGGTGTCATCTGGTTTCTACTCAAAATCTTCTGCTAACCACCTTTCTTTACATGTTATACAAGATATTTGTTTGAAATAAACATGTATCAGATTTCTATCAGGACCACGTTGTTTTTTTTGTTATAGATTGGGGCAGGATTTATAAAACTGCAGAAGCCAAAAAAAAACAAAAAATATTTACAAAATTTTACCTTCAACACATAAAACGGCATCAAATAGCTGTGGAAGTGTCTTCTACTGTCAATAAACCTTCTTGGATGTGCTGTCATATGGCTTTTAAATATAAATCCTTTAATGTCCCAGAATGGGGAAATTAACTCTTTGCATTTAATCCATCCCTCTTAGGGAGCAGTGGGCTGCCATAGTGCGGCGCCTGGGGAGCAGTGTGGGGTTAAGGGTCTTGCTCAGGTACGTAGAGTGGAAGCTGTGGGAGTGTGTGGGGCTTGAACTCAGATCCTCTGGGACCATAGGCCAATGTGCAAAGCTTTAACCACTAGGCCACCACTTCTGTGATAGTTTTATTATATGAATTTATGAAAGTAAAGCAGCAACTGTTCAATAAACACCATCTTTTTGTGAACATATCAATATATACTTTTATATGGGGCAACTTTAGCTGTGAACAAAGTGTTTTCCCCATTTGTGAAAATGGTAGACATTATTATACTAATGAAATCCAAAGCTTGTAAAGAAATAACAGGAGTTTTGGTTTGAGGATTTTCAGTTAATTTAGGATAATTAGGTAGCTAATGCCTAGAAATAAAAATAATACAACATATTTCAATAAAAGGTGCATTTAAAAAAAACTAAAAGAAAAGCTACGGTAAATGAAAATGAAGAAATGGAAAATAAGAAAATTACATAATAATAATAATAATGAATTTTATTTGTTACGCACTTTACATTTGACTTCAAATCTCAAAGTGCTACAAAGTGCTACATTTAAAAAAGGGGAACATTAAAACAAGTTTAAAAGACCATAACATTAAAAAAAGACAATCATTAAAATCAATACATTCAAAGGCATATGTAGCCTATTAAAAAAAATCTAAAATGAACAATTGTAGGCATTTCTAAAAAGGAAAGTTTTCAGTCCAGTACATATGACCTATAAAAAGGATTTTTATTTATGTATTTGAAGAAAGCCTTAAGTAAGCCTTCTTGAAAGGCATAATGTAATTTATCAAATATCCATCTATCCTTTTTCCATCATGCTTATCCCAAGTGGAAGGGTTGCTGGTGCCAATCTCTAGCTGTCTATGGGCGAGAGGCGGGGTACACCCTGGACAGGTCGCCAGTCCATCATAGGGCAACACAGAGACAAAGAGGACAAACAAGCAGTCACTCACACCTAAGGAGAATTTAGAGAAGCCAATTAACCTAACCGTCATGTTTTTGGACTGTGGGAGGAAGCCGGAGTACCTGGAGAGAATCCATGCATGCTCAGGGAGAACATGCAAACTCCATGCAGAAAGACCCCAGAATTCGAACCCAGAACCTTCTTGCTGCAAGGCAGCAGTGCTACCCACTGCTCCACTGAGAAGCCTATTTTTTATTTTTTTTTTATTTAAAAAAAGTAATTGGAGGCTTTCAGTTATTAATGCACACATTCAGCGACACATAGGAGCTCTTTCAAGCTGGGCACTGTTTCATTCATAACACCTGTCCCATCAACAAGGAATCACAATCAGAAATACTTTAATAATCCCAGGGAGAAATTACCTTTGTTACATTACTCCACATGTAATAGACTGACTATAGGACCAGTTTGATAAAACACAATTTCATACAATACATATAATTAGGGGGTCCCCGCTCCATCTAGCCATCACTTTTGGGGTCCTTGGCCTGGAAAACATTGAAGACCCCTGGTTTATAAATAGATTATTAGAGAATCAACAAAAAATAAACAAAGCAGACATAAGTATTTATTTGAAGTAAGAGAGATGAGGAAGAATAGCTGCTCAGAGGAACAGATTTTTAACAGGCAACATTAAAAACATTAACTGTGCTCCGTCATTTTCAAGTTGAGAAGTAGGATGAAATCACCCCGTAAGATCTGGGGATGGGTTTAAGTTTAAAAAAAGTATCTTTTTGTGCTTTTACTGTGGGACAATAAAGGGATTTTCTATTCTTTTCTATATATCTTTAATTTCCCAGTTTTATGAGCAAATATTTCCTGACAAAACTTTAGGAATGAAGTACTTTTACAGTAGGAAAAATATGACTTGGTAAGAAAACAATCTTCACATTAAATACAGTCAGGTACATACATATTTGATCACCCTACTACTTTGCAAGTGCTCCCACTTAGAAATCATGGAAGAGTCTGAAAGTGTCATTGAAGGTGCATGTCCACTGTGAGAGACATAATCTAAAAAAGAAACTCCAGAAATCACAATGTATGATGTTTTAACTATTTATTTGTATTATACAGCTGCAAATAAGTATTCGAACACCTGTCTATTAGCTAGAATTCTGACCCTCAATAGTCTGTCATCAAGAATGTCCACCTCCACTCCATTTATCATCCTAAATTAGATGCACCTGTTTGAGGTTGTTAGCTGCATAAAGACACCTGTCCACCCCATACAATCCGTAAGAATCCAACTACTAACATGGCCAAGACCAAAGAGCTGACACTCATAAAAATGACTCATTGGATTAACTCAATTTAATTGATGGTAGTTTTTCCATGCAATACATTTTTGCAATACATTTTTGCTAGCTGAACCAAAAAACGTTTTCTTTATTTTTTATTTTTTTTCCTATGTGGTGTAATTTTATTGAGTCTGTTCAAAACAATAAAAAAAAAAAAAAACAACTTTTAAAAGGAAATGAATACCTACACCAAATTTAAATATGCCTGGTTGGTTCAACTTAATACAATCAAATTCTGTTGAACTATATTTGTCCCTGCATGAATTCCGTTATGTTCAACTAACTCATAACATTTAAAACACCCAATGACAATTTAATTACACCGTGTTTTTGTCAGTGTTTGGTTGAGGTTGGAGGACCCAAATGCAGAAGCAGGGAGGCAGAGGTGAGTTTTAGCAGTTTTAATTGAATGATGACTGGTAACAGAGGCAAGAATCCAAAAATCCAACTTAAAATGTTAAACTAACCAGAACTAAGGCGACATCAGGGAAAACAAGCACGAGGAGCCAGGGTGAGATGAGAAACCAGCACTGAGGAACTGCACAAGGAGAGTATTTATGGTTGACTGAACAAAGGCAGGACTAACGAGCTGATTGGGAGCAGGTGAGAACAGAGGCTTCTAGAAAAGAGCTATGTAAAAGAAAACTAATCTACGAGGGCAACAGAAGGCAACAAAGAAAAGCCTAAGAACTTAAATACATCCAAAAACAAAACAAAATAGGAATTAAACCAATATAACTAGAAAATAAAGAAAAACATGAATCAACATAAAACTGAAAACTCAAAGAAAACTTAACAGAACCAAGACCATAACAGTTTTTGACATAATGAAGCACTGGTGAGCAGAAAACCCCCAAAATTTGTCAACATGGAGAAATTCACTTGGAGAAAATGTCAAAATTCAAACGCAAAAGCAGCAATTACAAAGTTTATTGACATGAACAAATTAGCTGGTCTTATGCATGCGGACCTCGGCAGAAGACGTCGATATTGAGAGCAGGAAACCGAGGACGCCCTGGACGGTGATTGGCTTATATGAAGGCATGGAGCTTCACCCATAGGCTGGAGCAGAGTCTCATGGTGAAGAGACTAGTAGCAGGTTAGAGTCTTCCAGTTTAAACCCGGGCCTAAGCTTCATAACTCAGTTAAGAGTAGTACTACTTTAATATATCTTTCCTCAAGTAAAAGTAAAATAGAACAATATTCAATCAAAACAGTATTACATGACTAATTATAACATCTGATTTAATTTTCACAACATTATCTAGTCAGATGAACATAAATATAAAGTTAAGTGCAAATTCTGGTAACTTTAACTCCAAATGTTAGAACAAGGGAATACAGTATAATACATATTGTTTACTATATGTTTACTTAAAGGTAGGGGATAAAAAGTAAGTAAAGTTGTGCATAAACCAAAATAACAGGTTTTTAATTTCACTTTTCATGTGATTCTGTTGCATTGTGACAAGAATTTGCACTCAGATAAACGTAGGGATCCTTATAATATTACTTACCGGTAAATAAAATGAAAAAGTACCGTAAGAAAATACAGAATATATTTCTAAATATTTACTCTGTCAAGACTCAGTAAATGTACCTAGTTACTATGCACCTCCCTAATTAAACAAAACAGTTCACCTAAATAACAAATAAACAATTAGTGAAAAACAAACAATATTAGTTACTGTAACAACTTTGTAACATTTTATGTATTGCATAAACATGGTCCTTTAAATTAATTACTGTTTACATTCTATTAACTTAGACTATGATTAGATTTGTGCAAATGCTTATTGAATAAATGTAGGCTTGTCTAACATGCAGCAGTCTACTGATTGTATGAGTTCACCCAGACAACAATGATGGTGATGAAGCTGACCGATATGAAGACAATGTAGACGCCAAACAGCAGGCGGTCAATGATGAAACCCACCTGCATCCACTCCTCTGAGCTCTGGCTGCCATTGTGCTGCTGCTCCACCTCAGAGCGGATGGCCTTCAAGACGTTGCTCAGGCTCCTCAGCTCCTGAAGGGCCTCATCCTGATCAGCTGATCCTGCTGTTCCTGAAGGCCCCTCATTGGATCTACGTTTTAGCACCACATCATTCTTCCTCAGCTCTGTTTTTGGGAAACAGTTCTCTATTCATTACTAATTTAATTTATTCTTTGTTTTTCTTGTATTTTACTTTTCAAAGGTTTCACAGAGGGCACCTTGAAAGTGCAATGCACATTTTCTGCAGTTACACCTCTATTCCTAGTGGTGTGAAAATATTATCTTACATCTAATTCTACAGAACAACCCATTACAACAATGTAATTATGATTATGATTGTTGCAAATGTATTACTAATAGATAATCAGATGACAGTAAAATCACAGTCAGATAGTATTTAAGAGAAGTATTTAAGGGTTTGTTTTAGTGCTTTGGAGATGATACCACAAGCTTACCAGTTCTATCTTTGGGCAGATTGGCTCTTTTTTCTTTGGAGAACTTCTTAAGTTCCATCAGGTTTATAAGGAAAACTCCCCACAGCCATTTTCTGATTCCTCAAAAAGTGTTTAAATGGAGTCAAGTTTGTTACTCCTGGATGTTAATGTGTTTCTGAAGCCACTCCTTTAGGAGCTTTGTTGTGCTATTTGGGTAAATCCAACTGGAAAAAGGAACAATCACCCAGCCTGGGTTTAAGAGCGCTTTGGAGTAATTTCATCCTTTTCCTGTACATAGCTGCATTGATCTTTCCTTCTATTCTGGTGCTTCCTTCAGCATGTTTCACCATAGGGATGGTACTGGCCTGGTGATAACTACTGGCTGTTATTTTTTACAAACATAATGCCTGACATTTACACCTAAGAGTTCAAACATTGTCTCATCAGACCAGAAAGTATTTTTCTTATAGGTCTGAGCAAATCCAGACAGACTGTCATGTCGCGTTTATTAAGGACTGACATTTGGTCTGGCCACTCTACCATACCAGTCTTGGTAGATTGCTGCAAAGATGATCTTCTTCTAAAAGGTTCTCCTCCGTTTTTTTTTTCTTTTTTTTTTTTTAGAGAAATGCTGGAGTTCTGACAGAGTGATCATAGGGTTCTTGGTCACCTCTCTGAATAAAGCCCTTCTCCCCCTAATCGATCGCTGTAGATGGCTGATCAGCTCACAGTTGAGCCCTGGTAGTTCCAAAATTCCTCCATTTACATCTGATTGATGCCACTAGCCTCACTGGGACCTTCAGAGTGGCAGAATATTTTCTGCTGCCCTCCCCAGACGTGCTTTAAGGCTGTCCTGATTCTGGTCTTTAGAGCAATTTCTTTTACTTCATGTTGGTGTTTGGATCCTGACATTAATGATCAACTGTTGGACTGTGTATAGACAGGTCTAACTCTATTTGTAGAATCAATTTAAGATCTCATGGATGATCAGTGGAAGCAGTGCACATCTCAAATCAGTTTAAAACTTCAATGCAAAGGTTGTGAATGCTTTTATAGATGTAATTTCTTAATTTGTAGTAAATTTACAACAATTTCAAAAACCCTTTTCTACTTTGTCGGAATGTTGTATTGTGAAATTATTACAAGGGAGAGAGATTTATGTAATGCTATGTGGAATTAGGCTTTAACATAATCTAAAATGAAAAGGTGCTGTAGTAGTGGTTTTTGGATGGACTGGATGTGGGCTGCATACCTAAATCTTTTGGTTTCGTATTCTTTCTGGGCATGCAAACAAGATAGCCGAGAAAATTTAAAACAATCACTCGAATCCATCGGGGGACGGGGGAAAGTTCAGACAAGTTGCTGAATAGGTTGGTGATGAAGATGGTCTCCAGCAGACTGGCCACCATTAAAGCCAGACAGAGAGAGAAGAACACATCTGATGGAGAGAGACCAGAGGAAATAGATCATTGAAGCATGCAGCCCTAAACGGTGAGTTTTGGCTTATGAATATAATGAATATATTACAATATTAGAAAACAAGAAAACCAACAACAAAAACCCTTAAGTTTCTGTTCTCTGAAGCCCATACTGACTTATTAGAGGTATGGTGTTTCCAGTGACTGGAAGCAGGTCATTCATAATGAGCAGGAACACGGTGTAGCCCAAGATGAGGGTCATCTTAAAGGAGGATCTGTCTGTGCTCTGAGGAGGCAGGAGGAAGCTAAAGAGATCCACCGTGATGAGGAAGCAGCTGGGGAGCAGCAGGGTCACCACGTACATGGTGGCGCGGCGTCGCACCCGGATCTGCAGAGAGAACATGCCCTGGATTCAATTGGACAGCTTGTTTTTTTATTTTATTTAAAAATCCAAATATAGATAATAGTTTCACCCTATACACCTTTTTTGTGTCAACTTACATAAAATGCAAGCATGTCCGTGTAAAGACCTGACTCATCATCATTCACTAGTTTTTGAGCGGTAATGTCCAGCAGCTCCCATTCACCCATGGTGGTCATCACTTGCTTAGAGAACTCCGTGGATAATTTTGCATCTCTCCCTAGGAAAACCCTGACCTCAGTAGCTGCAGACAGAAGAAGTACAACAACTTTAACCAAAGCTTCTGAGACACAGTATCTCTTTCTAAGCTGACAAATCTTTGAAAACAGTGCTCTAAACAGTTAATGCATCTCCAACTTAAATGCATTGCTTCAGCTGATAACAAGTAATTTAATTAGGTTTGCCTAACCTAATCTATCTGATTTATAAACTTAAATAAATGAAGTAAAAAAATCCACTTGATTAATTACTTGTTGACAATTAAAGCAATTCAGTTGAGCTGGAGCCCCATTCTCTTCTTAGAGTGAGCAGGGAAATGCAAAGTAAAGTGTACATTGTGATTTCAAAAAGCTGTTGCAGCCCTGGGCATACAGAGAAGATGCCATGTTTGCATCTAAGGTGCACTTAATATTGGGGTTATGGCTGTGATGTGGTCACAGTAGAATGGTCCTTGTCCCTGTTTATGACAGGGAGGCGGGGACAGAGAAACACATGAGAATCCATCTTATCCCACTGCAGCCTCAACTGTTCTAAAATGGACCCAGCACAGGAGGGCATATCATGCTGCATTATTACATTTTAAGGCAGGATATACACCTGTGACTATATCCAGAGGTGTCAAACCCATAGCCAAACTAAAATAAACATGGCAGAGCGCATTTTTGGATGGCAAAGTTCTGTTCCTCCCTGCATGATTTCAATGGGAGCAGAACCAGACAGTCAATAAGTAAAACAAAACATGGCTTGGTCAAAGGTAGACTGAGCACTCTAATAGGTTTTTCTTGAATCCATTTTGGTTTTCCAATAAATATATTCAGCCTTTTGTAATTTACGGTGTTACATTTGAATCTCCCAACAAATTGTTGTTTTTATGCCAAAAACGAGAAATACTTGATTTTATTTTTAAGATAGTAAATAATTTTGTGGCAGTGCCTCACCATAGTAGATGTAGGAGTTGAAAGTCAGGGAGCAGTTCTGTATGTCGAAGGGGAAGGTGTAGATGTTGAGGTTACAGGAGCTCACAACTCTGACAGGAAATGAACTTACCACTCTACCATCATGATACAGGGACAAGTATGGGACGGTTGGTGCTTTGTTTTCCTCCATACTTAAAGGGAAAGAATGAGAGAATTACACTGTTAAATAAAGACAGGCAGCTGCTGAATTAAGACAAAAAGGTGCACATATATTCTGCAAAGGTTTCAGCTGAGAAAAGAAATGTTAGATCATGTACACCACAATAAAAAGCTTGAACTTGAATGCCATGGGCAGGAATAAATGTGGATAATGTACTAAAAACAATGCTGGTCCCTTTTTTTCACTTTACTTTTTATCCTTTACTTTAACAAGTTTGTTTAGTAACAATTTAAATTTATTGTGCAAATTTAAAATATACAACAGACAACTCACAACTCATTGATTACAACGTCAGGAAGCCAAAAATTTTCTTTGGGGAGAGGAATCATGTCAGTGCCACACTGCTCTGGTTCCCAACTGATAAACTCATTTTTCCACCACTGCAACAAAAAAAAAATCTTGGTTAAAAGTCATGCCATCTAATCGTATAAAGTAGTCACAGTCTTATAAGCACAAGTAACAACAAATTTGACGAAAATGGCAGCAAATGTTTGCACAGCTTACATAGAAGAGCCAGATGTAAGTGACAAGAAGTTGTGACTTTTCATCCTAAAAGATAAAGACAACATTCATCTTAATTATCATTTTCGCTGTGTTATCTTGCATTTTGTATTTTATTTTTAAAGCCGTAATTTCAACCTACCACTCCTAATATCCCATAGAGAGTAAAATACACACTAATGTTGGTGTAGGTTGATTGGTTTTCTACGGGTCGTATCGCCTTCAGGTTAAAGGCAGGAGAAAGAGCTGCAAAAAGGCTTGACTGGTCTGGCTGGGAGCAGTTCACCTTAGCCGTGTTGCAGAAAACTGATGGTGAGAATGATCACGTTATAGCAAATTTTCTTTAATCAATTTAAAGAATACCCTTTTAGTAGAGGTTCTTCCTAATTTTTTCTAATTATTTGTACTGTATGAGTTTCGATATTTTGCAACTCCAATAAAAAAGCTCACCTGGTAGAATAATAAAAAGAATCAGCACAGAGGGAGTAACCGATGGAAGGAGACACTAAAAACAAAATAAGTCAACTGATTTTGCACTTTAAGACGTACAAAATGTGTAACAGGATATTTTACCTTACCTTTGGTGCAGGTTTGTTGGATTTCATCTTATTGAAAGTATGAGTCAATTTTTGCAGCTGTTGGATAAAGACTTTACTTGCCTTCAATGCCAAAGGATAGAAAAATATTTGAACCTCAGTTTGATACATAAACAACCATTACTACACAGTTACATATGCCTGCAACTCTCCGAGCTCACTAACTCCCAAAGGCCTAGTTTTAGCCTCTGATTGTCCAGATATACTCGACCCGAGTATGCCTTCAGCATGATGAACAGCTTCTGCAAATGATGTGGGAGAGCTGAAACACAAAGCAGGAGAGCCGCTTTCTTTGTAGATGGTTTCACGCGAGGCGAACACAAATCACTGTTAAGAGTTAAGCCTCAGTGTATGATTTATAAGTAGGAAAGAACTGACCAAAGCGCCGCCAAGTTCAACCTGATGATTATAGGCAAATAAATGGGTCGACGCCAAAGAAGAAACAGGTGTTAGGTGGTTTCTTCAAAATCTGAATTTTTCTATTAATAACAAAATGGGTATGCTTCCTTCTGTCAAAAAAATTTACGTTTAGTGCAAGAATAATTCATTTAAGGTTGTGTTTTAATGTCTCAGAGGTGTTTTTCGTCCATTAGGTCACTCAAAAATTTTATAATTTTTCTGAGAGAGTCAAAGGGGTCTTGCCGGTGAGCTTTTAATATTTTTTCTGCTGCATTACAAAAGTGTGCCTGATTTTTAAGAAATAATTTGGGCAGATGTCCTTCTTTTCCAAGGATTCTTTTTAGTAATGGGTAAAAGATATGGTTTAATCAAAAATTAATGATTCTAAATTATAAAAGCAGCCTAAACATCATGACGAAATCAGTCAAATGTACTGAAATGTGGTGATATCTATCCACATGAAAACCATGTGGATAGATGTCTACCTATTAAACTTTGCCTATTGGCCCTTTTTAACCTACTCCTGGACGCAGTCCTAAAAGGTCAAATTGTTGCACATGAGTGAAAAAATGACTTCCACTTTGGTTGAGTAAACTGTGTAAAATATTTTCTAGAAAAATGAACCAATGATGTTTCCGTTCTTTCACATGAAATTTACGACATATGGTGCTTTTTTTCATAGTGGGTCTTTTTACCCTCCATGGTGTCACTCAGGTTCTTCTTAGCCCTTTAATTGCCTTGTCAACATCCAACCTGAATTTCACTGAGCAAATGGTCAATCATTTGGTTGATCAGCGGAAAGTGTTTCTTTTTTTTTCTCTTTTTGTATCACGTTTTGCCATTATAGCTCTGAGAATAGATGCCCCAGAGCTAGATAAACGGCCATTAACCTTGCTTTCACAAGCAGACCAATATGCCCATCGCCATAAGGTTCTACTTAGTATTTGTATATGAAACTTTATTGAAAATTATTTCGGGAGTAAAATCAATTACAACCAACCTGGAGACTAAAAGAGAGGTGCGAAAGAAAGAGGGAATAAGAACTAAAGGGAGAGATAAAAGAGATGAAGATAAAAGAAGACAGGATAGGATGCATGAAAGGAGAAAATAGCGAACCCAGAAGATATACAGTAACTCCTTGATGTCTGCTTCCACACCTGTATAGGGATAGAAAACAGAGAACGTATCGACAGCAAAAAAAAAGAAAAAAAGACAACCAAAGTAAACATCATATAGAAAAAGCGTCAAGAGCTGCAGGTATCCCTCATAAAATCATGTGTGTGAAAGTCAAAACATATGGTGATTACATAATATTATTCAGGGTAGTGTATATACCTGCAACTGCAGCTTAGTATTTAGCATTAGTGTGTGTCCTGGATGAGCATGCTCATGTATAAAGGATTTACAAAGCTTCTTCAGAGGGAATATATGCTTAATAGCTGGGCTGGGCGGCCCCAGACTCGCCCGACAGGGCCCAGGTCCGATAAAGAGGCGATCCCGGTCCCAGATATATAGAGGCAACCCAGATCACTGGGGCACAAGAAGGACAAAAAAAGGGATGGCATCACTTTAAAGCCTGTAGTAAAACTTTGAAAGGTTCATTGAAAGGTTAATCAAAACAAGTAACAGACTGTTGAGGAAAATAAAGCAATGTTATGAATAAAACACTGAGAGGGAGTCTGGCTTGTGATAAAAAAAAAACATTACCTTTTGTCCCAAACAATTCAAATACAATAATCAATCAACATCTCCTCTCACACTGTGTGGCTTTGCAGGTGAGAAAGGATTGAGTGAAAACTTTTAGAATGCCATAGCATTTCTCTTGATTTGCTTAATTTTTGTTGCCGCCAAAGTAGCGATCCTTGTAACTGGGATCTAACATTGTTGCTTGTACATTGGCTCTACTTCAATGTGTCCCAAATGGGTATTAACAGCATCCAATGGAGTGGTCTTGGATGTTTTCACACCATAATCTCTGGAAACTGTCTTTGTTAAAAGTCGCGTTAAGACTTGTATATTCAGATACTGGAGTGAGCCCATAGTCTGTTGGATGTATTAAGCTATTTACATTGGTTGGTGCATGCTTTCCCTTTATGAAGCCAGTTTGATCTGAGTGGAATAAATGAGTTATTCCACTCAGAGTAACCATTTTTAAACATCTGACAAGACCTTTACAAATAATTCAAAAATCAAAGTTAAATAGAGATGTGGGTCGATAGATATGGTTGGATAGACAGGATCATGGTTTGGTTTTAGCAGAAGACTAATATTTGCAGAAGTCATATTTGGTGGAAGCCTTCCCTTCTCCTCAGTTTCCTGCAGCATTCTGTGGAATATTGGTTCTAGGATATTCTAGAATTTATAATAAAATTCTACTGGAAATCTATCAGTGTGTCAGGACTCAGAACGTTGGACCCAGACAGACTCGGAATGGGAATGATTTTCAGCCCTGGCATTTTTCCATCCACACCGGTCCACTTATATACTTTGGTGTAGAAGGCTTACAGCCATACATGTTTCAGCCCTTGCCTAGCAACGCTGCCAGTTCTGTTAGCTCTACACTTGCCGAAGACACAGACGTGCATCCCTGTGAACACTGGGACAGAACTCAATGGGAAAGGAAATGATTCAGATTTCTTATTTCAACCGTTGGGTATGTGAGCTGCAACATACGGATCAGATGCAATGACCGAATAAATTTGATTGACAGATGACCGTTGATATATGATTGGCCGAATTTAGGTGTTCAGGCTGACGTAGAACTAACTGGCATGCATAAGATAACACCCCCCCCACACACACAGAGATTTTAACACAGGATTATTTTTTTCAAAAATAGAAATTTTCTTAATTTAGGGACAATATAGTCTGATAAAGTGTACATTTATATACATGTTTAAGCCAGAAGGATTTGACATTTAAATATGACTTCCCTATGAAAACATGGAAAACTGTGCATTTACATAAAGTTTATCCACAGCCACCATGGCCCTGATACATTCAGACATTTATTTTTTTCTGACAGGGAACAGAACTTGTCTTTGGTCGAGAATTTCTTCAGGAAATTGATCATTAATGCTGAAGTGCATTCTGCACCGCTCTTTGCATTGACTTTTAACGTATTAATTTTATTTGTAGTGCTCAAATTTAGCAGCTATAGCTCGGGTGTTATCAGGTCTCTTACATCCAAGCTGGAGAACGTGATTGAATGAGATCTTTTTTACCTCCTCAATGGAGAATTTCAGCTGATAAGGGAGGAAATCTTGGATTGTAGATTCTGAGTCTTCTTCTCTTTCTTACTGTTCTTGGAAACTAAGACCTGTCAGGTTGTGGTTAAATTGGCTTAACATGTAAAAACATAAATGAGTAACATAAAGGTCAATTCATATT